TCACCTGATGTTGTTTGCTGGAACTTTTGAAAGTGACAAGGTCAGCAAAGGAACGTTGCAGATTAGCCACAGTTTGATGGAGAATAGTATACCACAGTATACCATCTCCAAAAACTGGACTTGGTGATTGTACAGCTGAGTAGCTAACGTTGTTCACGCTGCACTGTTCTGTGGTGCTGTACACCTCCAATAGAAAACAGAAATGATCTTTTTGAAAAGCTCTGTGCCAATATTTTGTCAGCAAAGGAAATTTGATTGTTTTACAATGATATCCCTGATGATCTCATGGCATACCAATGTGGCACGGACCGGTGTTTGGGAATCACTGCACTAGTAAATATTTCTGCAAAAAATAAAATAAATAAATAATCGCAAAAAACACACACTTTGTGAAGCTTTCCTGTGAATGATTATTGTACCATAAACTATACTCTTTGTGTTACTCATAACTTGAATAATACATTTACAACAATTTCTTAATATAGGCTGCTTTGTTTTCTTTTAAAGCCTTTTGTAAAAGACAGATCCTTTACAAGGTAACAAATCCAGCATGCACACGCGCACACTCGTTTTCCTGCCTCCTCTCCATCCTCCCTCCTCCGTGGCAGCGCTGCAGCCGTGACATGCATCCTAAACCCGGGCAGGTGATGTGTGGCTCGAGCAGCAGCTCTGGGAAACCGCCGCTCTCTGGTCTCGTTACGCAAATTACCGCCGGAGCGGCGCAGCGCTGGCTCCGCTAATGGGGCGTGTGTGCCGCTGGTGGCTCCCGCTCCCTGCCTCCCCCTCTCCCTCTTCTCCTCTCTTCCTCCGCCTGGATACTTAATGGGTTATAGGCTGGGGGGAGCTGCCACCGGGGAAGTGCTATTACTCACACCGACACAAGCCCTGGCTGAGGAGCGCACAGACATAAAGAGCAGCCAGTGGCAACCAGACAACAACTGTTTTTTTCTGTGTTCGAAGAAAAGGCAAATATTTTTCATCAGAATGAGACAGCACATGCTATAATTAGATAAAAATAAACCAGAAAATTAGGATTTTACCTTTGTGTTCATCTGCTGCTGCGCCCTCTGTCAGCCCTCTGTCTGGATTCTTCCCACTCGTCTTTCTTTTGCAAGAGAGACAGGTGTTAATAGCTATAAATGCTGTGTTTAGCAGTGGGAAATAGACCCCCTAGGTGGCACTAATGCTACTTAAAGGATGCAGAACACCCATGTAAACCCAAAGAGGAAGAAGCAAGGTGCCGAGAATTAGCAGCTAGCCTTGCCTGGAAGTGTCTGAAAGGATACTAATGAAAAGTACGACTTTTTGTCTCACGTGAAAATAAGTATATTTATACAATTTAAGAAAAAAAATGAACGTTACTATTATTAAGGTGAATATCATACCGTATATCCAGTAGATAGATATAAGCCTACAAGGCTTAGCATAGTTCTTAGCCTGTTCTTCTGAAGGATTTGCTTTATATGACTACATCATAACAAGCAATATAAATTAGCCACTGTGCAAAGAGGACTGTTGCCTGCTGCTTAGACCTCATTCCTTCCTTGTTGATATCTATCCAGCCATCCATAAGCCATCCATCCATCTATCCATCCATCCATTGACCCATCCATCCATCCAGCAACCCTCCATCCATCTATCCATCCATTAATTTAGTCAACCAGCCTGAATAAATCAGTCTTGTTCTAGAACCTGTTCTGGAAACTTGGAACAGGGCAAATTTGCTGGCTCCATCAGTGATGTATCAAAGAAACTTCAGAAATGTGAGGATGAAGTATAAAGGATGAAGTAATAGTAGCTGAGTTAAATTTTCTGATGATTTTAAATATTTTGGGTGACTATGACTTACATTGAGAGTGAAATTACAATGGTTGGTTGTATTAAAAAACCGGCTTTGATGAATGGCTCCTAATCCTCTTGCTGCCACCCTTGTACCACAGATCACTCCGGCCTGCCTGCATCTTATTTACTTTTTTGCAGTGTCCAGCACTTTGGACTGTAATGTTTCAAGAATTCCCCAAAATAAATACTCAGACCTCACTTTGGAGTCCTCAGCAGTTTCTGGGGTCTTCTAAACTTCACCCAGTTACAGTTTTATTAAACCCATTCAGCAAGTGTGTGTGTGTGTGTGTGTCTGCGTGTGTGTGTGTTTAAACGGGGAAACTACTGGCTTTAAAGACTCCTGGAGCACTGAGCCCAGTTCATCAAAATGAATCATTTGTTTCAGTGAAGAGGATCAGCTTCAGACCGTACATGGCTAAGAGATGGAAAAGAACCTGCTCTTTTGCAGTACTTGAATCAGACTGGGGATTATTTTTAAATATATGACAGGAGTTACTGCTTTAATATGACCTTATTATGATTTTAATTTTCTAAAACTTGCAGAGGGAGCACTTACCCCGTGCTCAGACCCTCCCTGTTTGGATACCTCATTTATTACCTTATAAAGTAATAAAGCAGGCCTGTCCCTCTCCAGCCGTTTGTTTATGATAAGAGCTGTTGTCGCTGACGTTGTTGTAATTGCTGTTGCTGTCCTGCCTCCAACTTCCTCGCAGAACTCACGGATCACCCTGAGTCATCTGCAGAAAGCACCAGAGTTCCCGCTCGAACAGCACGTTCCTACTGTTCAGCAGTCCATTCCCTACCTCCCCCCTCCATTCTTCCCTCTACCAGTCATCTTCCACTTCCTCCCTCTCCGCTTTCCTTTTCTCGAGCCTTGTGGGATGATGATGACACCCGCTGTAATCGGCGTATGCTTCGCTGCAGACATGGCACACAATCGAGCAACCCCTCAGAACTGATCCAGGTTCCATTGTTGCGTTCAGGCTCACGGCGCTGCTGTCCTCTGACAAGTGAAAGGGGTCTTTTCATGGCAGAGTGATGGGGAAGTCGGCAAGGTGGGGCCTTGATTGACAGCCCCCTTGAGGAAGCGAAGCCAGCGTCTGCTCCTTATCTGATCTCTGCCCAGTGGTGATGCACATTCACTCTGCTGACCTGCTTTTTTAAAATGCATCCGGGAGACTGCTAATCTTCACAGCGGGAATAGAATTAATCCATTTGGGCTCATGTAGCTTTGCTTCCAGGGAAGGTTTAAGAGGGTAAAGGCCGGGGGGCGTCCGGCAATGTGCAGATTAATGAAGTGGGGCAATAAGTAGAGTATGATTTTAGTGGCACATCTTTTCTTTTATTCAAGTTCTATAGCTCATCCCAACATGGCCTAATTTTTTTCTTCACTTTGACCTGGAATTAAAAATGTTTTTTTTAATCTACTATGTCCACAACATTAAACACAGAACAATTATTTATATATTATATTTAGAAAATTTCTTGAAATTGCAACAATCCAAAATTTTCATAGATTACATAGACAAACAGGAAAAACCCCCATTAGCATCAATTTTAAGATAGGCCTTGTTGGTCATTAAAAAAACAAAAACAACGTCAAAATCTGCCAATATTTTAAAAGTATTTAGTAGTCAAACTGCATTATAATGGATAAAAGTATTTAATATGCAGCAGACTCATCATGTCAGAGTTTGATTGTGTTATTATTACTAATGCATAAACCCATAAACAGCATTTTACTACTGCAACTCCTTAAGGTGGAGCTTATTTCAATAGCCGTATAAAGTTAAAACAGTTCACCAATGAAGAAATGTTCTATATTTTATGTCCGCCAGATTTTTATTTGTAGAATAAAATCCTATCAAGCCATAAAACTCCTGTAAAAACCTTCAAGATTACCTGTTACAGGGGTCATAAATTAAATCTGGGGAGAAGTTCGTCATTTTGAACAAAATTGTCCCAGAACAAAGATTTAAAGTCAGGACATTCAGGCACACCTGTCCTTAAAAATCTGCCACACAGGCACAGTGAGTGGTGACGTGTTGTTTATCTTTGTCTCTATGATCCTGTGAGACTCTGCTGACCTGACCAGGGTCACAGAGGTCACTCAGGGATTGGCTCCAACTCCCTACTTTGATCCTTACAGTCTAACTTGTTCCAATTCTGGCCTGGGGCCCAAATGTAGTTCTATGGGCCTCAATAAAAGAAGATTTTAAAATATATATATATTTTATAAAGTTATTTTAAATGCTTTACTTTTGAATATGGTCAATAAATACGTACCATTGTGAATTATAAAAACTATAATTGTAATGGTAGTCAGTTCTCTTTTTAATATTACAACAGCATTTTCCATCTTTTTAATAGAAACTTTAAACTATTTTATTTTTTTTTAACTCTGACTATTGTTTCAAGCCTGAGCTAATATTTGTTTATGAGTTTTAACTGTTTTTGCAGCACGTTTTATTTTTTGTTGGCCAATTTGAAGCCTTTTAAAAAATGTTTTTGCTAACCTACAGTGTATTAAAATTGTCTATTGTTTGGTTTCTAGTCAATTTCAATTAGTTTGTGCTAAATGTAAGCTATTGTTTGCTAACTTAAAGCTAAAAGTTTCTTTGGGTGACTACTGAAGAAAGTTCACCCTCAGGTTTTCGTACTCTTGAGTTACTTGGACTCATGTCATACATATTGTACCAAAAAGACAAATCCGGCTGAGGACTGTCAACAGCAGGAGACAGAGACAGGCAGGGACGGATGAGAGAGAAACTCCTAAAGCTGGTTTGTCCACATTCAAACCATTCTAGCTGAACGACTCCAGTAATGGTGATTCATTTGTTAGTATATGGAGCAAACCTTGCCCAAAACATTTGTTCGTGGAAGTATCACCCAGGCCTTATTCTTCTAATGTTTTCTCACTCTACGGTATTATGTCAATAATCATACAAACTTATATTGCCGAGCCCCCGTGATTTTAAGTTGTTAAGTCAGATTCTATTCGTTGAGGCTGGTATCCAACTGGTCCTTCTGGGTTTGTCTTTGAATGGAAATATATATATGTCTTTACTATTATGCTTTAAGACTGTTGTTAAACTTTCAACTTGGCCAACAAAAAAATGTAAATCCTCCTATAACAATATTCAGTCTTGCTACCTTTAGGCTTTAACCTAATGTTTCAAACGTGCATTTCCTATGGCCCATCAGGGTAACTGGTCAACTCAGTCTCAGCTGCTCTAAAAAGTAGAAAGTATTGAAGTATAAACTGTATCAGGTATCACTGTTATCAGGACCTTTAAATTACTCTATTGTTCTAATAATGTAGTTGTTTAACTCTTTTAGCTCATCCACAGATGCAACAGCAATAGCTTAACAGAGCAGTTTCCCCTGCATCATTTATTGTCAACAAGAGTATCATTAGCTTTTACTTATATATCAGAACCTATATGTGTTTTATTATTTTTAGTTATAACTTCTATTTTATTTATTTTGCTGTCTTTTAACTATCTTTTTAATTGTTTTTACTCTGTTTATCATCATCATCATATCAGATAATGTTGTTTTCATTCTGAGGACTTCCTCATGGACAAAAACATGTTTATACAGTTTCGGTCTTAGCCAGAAGTGTTTACCAAAGCTCACATTTCAGACCCTGCACCGACCACTCAGGGGCAGTCGTAAAGTACATTCACACGGAGTCCTAACACCAGGCTATTTCTGAAGCCGACTACATGTGAACCCCCTGTTTACCAGAAGCTAAAGTTAGAACGAGTGAAGGGAAATCCAACTTTGCTACATGACTGGACAGCAGGCTGGTGTAACAGTTTGGCTCTAAGAGTAATCCACAAAGCCTGTCAGTGCTGCACCTGACATAAAATAAAGTTACCCCTGAGGGGCAATGCCCAGGCAGGAATATTTCTGTCAGGGTTGCTGTACACCCTGAAGCACAGAGGAAAGATGGAACTGGTGGTTTTGGGCCTCACTTTCCTTGATTTTCAATTGAATTGTGAATCATTGAACCTTAGGTAAATACACCAGTCATATTTTTTGTGCACAATTTCATGTTGAACTGTCTTATTTATTTGTACATTTAAGTATGTTGGGACTTTTCTTTTACAGTCCCTTGAGAGGTAGAGCTAGATCCTGTAGATTGTGTGACGCGTTGCTCCTTGTCCAAAAAAGCAAGCTGAGACCAGATAAGTTTCAGGACATTAAATAAACGACAGTAATCTAAAAAAGCTTCTAATGACACAGACACAGAGATCCGGTCAACAAAAAGCATTTCAGCGCTTATAAACCGCCCCCACTTGAAGAGAGGATATGGCAAGTGCATCTGAAAGCAGAAGTAGAACTGTTCAACACTTCAACCCTAAGTTGAAGTCAGGCCATATTGCCACACACACAGACACATTACACAGTCTTTTTAAGTATTTATTTATTTATTTTCCTCACAAGAGAAATACATACATGAGCCGTTCATCAAAGTAAAGAAATATTTCACATACTGTGATCTTGTAGTATTCCAAGTCTAGATGTCTGCCTCTGAACTTTGAAGATCAGGAAATAGTGATGTCAGGAAGGATAACATCACTGCCTTCATTCCTCAGGTACTTTTAATGACAAACAGATAAAAGAATGTTCTGGAAAGAAGAACATAATGAGAGGCGTAAGAACACAACATATTTGATTGCAACTGTTAATAAACAAAAGAAAAATAGCACAACAAGCCAACTTTATTTATCTAGTTAATAAATGAATAAAAGGGAAAAGGAACGCAAAGTGGTTCAAAGGAAAGAGAAGCTAAAAAGGTAGGTAACATTGGACAATAGTTATCAGAGTTGATTAAGTTTGGATATTTCTGAAAACATTACTATTCTCTTCTTTACTATTTTGGGTGGATGATCTAATTTTCCACCTCACTGCTGTGAATCATTTTACAGTCAGAAATTCATCATCAACATCCATTCATTCATACTCACATTCAACAGTTTAAACTTGGTAAGTGTCACACCCTCATGATACAGATTTACACATTTTATTCTTTTTTGCTCTAACTTTGTCAACGTGTTCCTTAATCAGAGTCACTGGTACCTTGCTGAGGATTCACCACAATTTCTGTGCCAGATTTTACTTTACTTTACTAAACCTGAATGTTTATGAGCATTAAAATAGGCAAGGTTTCTTTTAACATTTTAATGCTGTTTTATATTGTTTACTCATCATTACGTGATTGTTTTGTATGCTCTGGACTTAGTGATAACAATCAAACTACACACCCTGCTGTTACACTTAAAAATAGATGGGACTTCCAGTGTCTGTTCTGTCTGATACGGTCATTCATTAGTACAAAACAGTGTATCTTGTACTGTTAAGACTGATTTTTAAATTCCATTCTGTGGAAAGAAACAACTGTCCATGCATCCACTGTGCCAGGGCTGATTGTATGTACCACGTTGTGTCTCTGCCTTCAACAAACCAGAGGAGGAAAACAGGCCCTGCCATTGGGCTGAACTTGAGTTTGTCCCGCCTCTGAAACGTCTCTGATTGGCCTTACCGAGAGCCGGTGCATGGGCTGATGGCTGAGGATATGAATATTCATGCAGCCGGGTCTGCGCTATGTTGTGTCCTCCCTGCGTGTCTGGCTCATCGGAACAGAATGTAGCGTGTGGTGATGTAATATCACTCACTTACTCCACAGAAGGCTGATTTAGAGGCGCACATACCCGGGCAAGAGGGAAATTAAAGTTTGATACGGGACAGTGCTGTGCGTAATTACGCACGGTTAAGCTTCGGGAATTTTAAAATCCTCCAAAATGTGTGTTTCTGCAGGGGGACAGCTGTGGTGATGGGCCGCCTGACTGTCACCTCAAAGCCACACCTCTTCTAGAAACTGTGCGGAGCCTCCCCGGTACTCTGCCGGGTGCTATTTTAGGTCATTCGGGTCGGGTTGCAGTGGCAGTGGGGAAACCTGACGGACAGGTCTTCTTGGCACCGCCTTGGAAATCATCGAAACCGAAGCACCGGCTTTAAAAAGGACGCGCCCGTCACACAGCAGAACAAGGAAGAGACGCAGTCAGCAGAGAGAGAGAGAGAGAGGAGGGAAGTCAGCAACTACGCACAACTATTAACTCAGATCGCCTGATTTATACGACAACCCATCCACACAGCAGCGTAATTACAAGGAAGAAGCCGCATTTAATCTGATCAGGGCAGAGTAACAGCAGGACACAACCAAAGCAAGGAACCCGGAACTTCAATTTCTCCTCTGTGGCTGAACTGACAGAAGAAAATCTGCCAAGATGATGATGCAGCTGACAGAAACGTACAACCAGAAGAACTCCCTCTTCAACGCCATGAACCGTTTCATCGGCGCCGTCAACAATATGGACCAGACCATCATGGTGCCCAGTCTGCTGCGGGACGTCCCGCTGGACGAGGACCGGGAGCTGAGCTCCATGAAGTCGGACGAGGAGGAAGGGGACATGTACAGCTATTACCAGCTGCTCAAGTCCATCCGCAGTGACATGGAGTGGGGGGTTCGCTGCGCCTCCGCCGACGAGAGGCGCAAAGAGGGCATGAAGATCACCCGCATGAACTCCACCGCATCCATCGCCTCCACCGCCTCCGCCGCATCATCTTCCGCGAATTCCTTCGATGAGGAGGACGAAGAGGAGGAAGAAGATTTGGCCAAGCAGTTCCAGTACCATCTGACGGGTCTGCAGGACGTGCTGTCCAAACTGACGCAGCAGGCCGTCTGTCTCACCAAGCGCTATAAACAGGAGATCGGCATCGGTGGCTGGGGTCAGTGAAGGTCCCTCCAGTCTGATGAAGACATGGACTCTGTGAACTGTCTTCTCTAATGGCCCTCTAATCAACCTGCTGCTGTTGCTGCTGCACTGACTTTTGGACAAACCAGGAAATAGTGGCAGTTAATTTCTCCTACTGGCCCAAGGGTGGTTCTGTTCTGTTCTGTTCTGGGTGGGCTGTCTGATCTGTGTTTCTGACTGTAGATGTGTTGATCTTGAAGAAAGCATGTCCGTGTGTACACCCACTCAACACCCACTTTTTTAAATTTGCACTCCAGGGTGTTGCTGTACACACCAATGCCTTCATTTCCTGTGATACGCAGATGAAACGTATTTAAGAAAAAGCTTTATTTAATGTGTAATTTATTACCTCACTGTATGTCAGAGAGCCAGATGCTATTTCAACATTGGAGGACGGGTTGGAGATTACAGGACCTGGCATTTGAATCAACCCCCTAGTGAGGGGGGAATACTAACAAAAGACTCAGTTTCCTGTCTGTGATGCTGATGATGTTAGTTTGTTCAAGTATGTTTTGTCTGTGTTTCTATGTATGACCAGAGCTCCTTCACATTTTAGTACTTCTGTGTTTTGTGTGCTTTGCATGGAAGGAGGCATATGTATGTGCTACTGCAGCTGCCCATGATCTCCCAGAGCCAAATATGGTCAATGAAATGGAATCAAGTGATTATTCTTCTACATAGAGAGAATGATCATGGTTTCCATGAGATGCATTGTGTAAAATGTCTTGTTTTTTTTTATCCAGTGGAGTCACATCCATCTTTCAAAATATGCCAATGCCTTTGTATGCACCTTCTGCACCCTTTTTTACTGATGAATAAAAAGCTATTTAAATGTACTGGTGTTGTTGTGACTCATGACACAAAATACATTAAAAAACAAATGTGTTTTATATATATAAAGGCGTATTATTAAAAAAATAAAGAAATAAAAAGAAGTGTAAAAAGTATCCTGCACATGGACCAAAGTTTTGCAATTGATTGCAGTGTTTTGAGATGGAATCAAAGTTCATTTAGATCCTAGCAATTTCATTAGCCTTCATGGAACATCTTTCATCAAATTTGGAATCGTATTATATACATTTTAAGAAAAGGAGGAAAAAGCCCTTTCTTGACGTAGGTATCATCTATGATCTTTGTTCAGGACCGTGAAAATCACATAACAGCTATTCCTTCAAACAATCTGAAATGTGCAAGTCAGAGATTTGGATAGAAACTGCTGCATTTACAGAACAAACTGACAAAATGTCAGAGGAAACACTAAAAGCATCAGACAGAATCACCAGCATCTGTGCTCCTGCTTGGAAATGTGTGTCTGGATCAGAATCATCCCCTCAGCTCTGAAAACAGGTGATGTAATGATCCCAGCGAGTGCAGAGACAGACAACAAACATTTGCCAAAAGACAGCCTTAGTTATTTTTTTTTGTTTTGTTTTGTTTTTTGTCGAGTGAATATTGCTTTGTTTTCATTTGTAGTGACACTAGGCCTGAAAAACATTCATTAGAAATGACACAGGTTGTTAAAAAGGCTGTAGGTATTTGTGCGGGCGGATGGTGTAAAACTACATTCAGGTTGAGAAAAGTTTTTTTTTGACAATAACTTGAACCAATTGAACTCAAAATTTAAAATGCTTAGGTAGCAGAAAGGGTTTTCTGGAAATACTTTTTTTTCTCCGAGTCATACAATGTGAACTTATCATTTATCACATTAATCGGTAAGATGGTTAGTTAGCTTTTACCATCTTGTGTGTTTTAAAGAACTGAAAACAGGGAGGGTTATGGTTAGAGTTACACTCGTACAGGTAAACAGTCTTACAGTGTTTAAATAATTAAATTATTTTGGTGTTTTTTATTGTTAAATGATAACTTGTCTAACACAGCAGAAAATATAAAAGTGCAATCAACTTTTTTTAATTGTCCCCTTTAATTTTTTAGGTTTTTTTAAATAGCTGGACGTCAGTAGACAATAATAGCCCTAACACAACTAATTGTTGGCGTAGATATAGTTTAAACCCTTAAATCTATATGGCTAACGACTTTCTACTATCAGGATGAAGATTCCAGAACTTGCCTGTGACTCAACATTAAAACTTTTTTTGAGCCTGTAAGTAATTAATAGACTACTCTGCACCAGGCATATAGTCATATACAATATAACTTATAAATGCGGCAGACTTTAGTCTTTTAAAATGCAACTAAATAGCGTTTGGATGCAGAATTCTAACTAGAATACGTTCAGTCGAATCTGTCTCCGGCACTTCGCCTTTGATGTTGAGAGGTTCTTTTTGTCCCTTTCTGCGCACTGTAGTAACAGGAAGTGCAACAAAGCTACATCAAAACATCAACATATCGAGCCAAATATATTTCATATGTATATTCTATAAAAATAACATATTGACTACATGGTTTTAATGTAAATACAATGCCAGAAACCAACGACTCCCGATGCGTATTTTTCAATACGGACTCAGAAGATTATCGATGCGTAAGTAGCGAGCCTTGCTGTTTATTAGCTGTGTGGGTAATTAGCCTGTTAGTTCCTTATCGTTTCTGTAAGTAAACATCTGGGACTTTCATAGAACGGAGAATACCTGCCGTTACTTAATGGCGTATCGATTATTGATTCATTGATTTGATTGATTTTTTTAGAGGGGTTCCATTCCTGACTAAGCGTTTACACTGTATGATGGCAAAGAACATTTACTTGTCTAATAAATTACTATCATTTTACGTTAACTAAGGGGGAGTTTATCGATCAACTGCATATATACAACTCTCAAAATTACAAATGTATCAACCCTAAAGTATATAAATATATATCAAAATATGGTCTTAAAATATAATAAATGCTATTTTACTATTTTTTATTATTTATTGTCAAACTGGCACACAAATAATTTGATGGGGTTTAATTTGCATAGTTGGAACAGTAATGGTCATATTTAATAGAAATTCCTGTCCAGCCCAGAAACAAACAATAGTGTTTAATAGGACACTTGAGGAAACTTTATTTCTTTATTTTCACATGTTTCTATTTGTGTGTTTTTAAGAGTTTGTGTGTTTACCTATGGACTGATTTTCTTAATGATATAAGAACATTTTCTGTAAAGGACATGCCAAATTTTCATTGCAAAATTACGCCACACCAACAAAAGATTCATAAGTGGAGAATATTCCATGCACCCAAAGTGTGTGTGTGAATAATTCTCATGCTTATAAATTAAAACCACGCAATGGTTCCTTAGATGAAGCACAATGGACTCATATTAACGTTAACTACCTAAAAATAGCATACTAAAGAAGCCGAAATCATAATATTCAGTATGTAAAAGTTTGTCATGAAGACCATGGTGGTTGGTGAAACAGTAAGAGATCAGGTATTGACTGAGATGTAGGTAGATCTGTTTTGATGATACTGATTATTGCTGCCAAATGAGAAGAAACCTTTGTTTCAAGTAATATTGTTACAAGAGTATTTAAATATGATTTTCAATATGTTTAAAATGTATTTATATATTTTAAAAATACTGGTTTTATTGTGTTAGCTTCTATGCAAAAATCTCAGAAGCAGTCAGTCTCTGCTGCAGTGAATGTGTTAATCATTGTTAGCATCGTTTTCATGCCAGTAGCTTCAGGTTATCTTCCATTTAATTACAATGGAAGAATGCTACAGGAATGTGGTTTAGCCAGACACCCACATGTTGCCTTACATCTTCTCATATTTTGGATGCATTCTGAAGTATGAGGTTTTTGCATATTCTCTGGCAAACCACAGTAACCTTTGGTCACACTTACCTTGCACAAAGAGAATTTTGTCTTTAACGAAGGTGACACTTGGTGTTTGTACCTGCATTTATTTTCTACAATTCCACATAATCTTATTTTGTAAATCTGAAAACTACAAAAAAGAGCAAACACCCACCATGGCTAAATTGAAAATTGGGTCAATATCCAAGTCATTGCTTGAACTTTAACAATCATTCCCTGGTTTTTGTGAGATGTTTAAATATAAATACTTGGATGTATATCCATCCTTGTCCAAGTTTTGAAAAAAACAAAACAGAAATTCTGTGCTATTTATGGAAGCCATTATGAATAAGTTTTTGGACAATGAAGCTATTTCTCTGATTTATAATGGTGATCATCTTTACTTTCACCACTAATGAAGCATAAAAGCTACATTGTGTCTCTTCAAGAAGACCTGAAACTTTTCAGGAAAATGTTCATTGACCTTATACAATCTGTCTCTTGTACATGTATAGTCTGTGTCTAGTAAATATGCTTTCCAATATAGCAGTGTAACCTCTGTTTGCAAAAATTCCAACAATCTTTGAAAGGAACAAAAAAGATGAGAACTGTTTTTATTTTGTAACAAAAATGAAGTACTTATCAAAGAAAATCTACTTTGCTTAGTGGATTTGATCATTCTTCTGTGAGAAAGTGTCAGTGTTTTTTTATAGTGGCGACAAAACTCTTTTTGAAATACACCTTAATATCTTGCATCCGTTGTCCAGTACCCTTTGAAAGTTTGCAAAAGTACACAGACTCCGTTGTATGTTTGCAGAGACAATAACAGGTTGTCGTCCAGTGACAAGTTGCAGCAGCCGCCCTTTTTTTTAAACATGCCTTGTTTCATTCAGTGCACTTAAACATTGGTCTCTTCTTCAAAATCTCTGAACCCTTCAGGTCCAAAGCTGTGAATCATTCTCATTGCTTTCAGAAGTATCTGTCAAATCAGTTGCAGGTTTTGCACAGAGGTATGTTGTGGATCAGGTTCTGGCCTCGTTAACACATCAGCCTCCATCTCAGTGTCAATGCACACAGCTGTCATTTAGCAGTAAACTGCTACGAGGCATCTTTAACTCGGTCAAATACATTGACACCTCTGATTCCATGATGTGACTACGTGTTTTACATTTCTGCCAATGACTTCCCAGAAACTGTACACTACGTTCTTGTAAGAGTGCGTGCTGTTGTGCAGATGTACAAATGGCACATTTGAGCAGAAGAATGTTTTGTCAAACAGGTCATTTGTAACTCTGTGATTATAGCACTATGTAATTTTGGCCTTTGTTGCAATTTGGTTTGCCCAGAAAAACAAAAAATGAAATAATGTAAAAAAAAAAACCTGTCATGTTTGGTTGTTTCTGCTTATTTATTAATGAGTTGTTTTGATTTACAGGCGCTGATTTTAGCAGTAAAACGAGCCACGGGCACCTTCTCCTTGGTGGGATGGTAAATATTTACTTAAAACTTACATTCTTTTAATCTGTCTTAATATAACTGTGTGGTTTTTACTTTACACCCGAATAATAATAAAACTGAGACATTTTCATACCTAGTACTTCACCTAATTCTCTTAACTATTAGCTAATAGCAGGTCAAAAAAGAGAAACGTGGGCAGTGAATGTGGAGTGTTTAATAAGGAGTGGACAAGAACATATTTTTTTCACTGAGATCTGATCAAAGGGTGTATGTCTGATATGACAAGAAACCTTTGCAGTTTTTAAAGAATACAGTGTTAACCATCACTTTGCCACTGGGAGTAGTACAGGCTAAAATCATTGATGTGTAGCTTTTACATGTCATTTATTTTAGTTCACACCAACCCTCCGATCTATCTGGTCCTGGTCTGGCTCTCCTGTCATATTTTAGAACCCATTGTGGCTTACGAGTCAAAAAGTTTGCACAGACCATTTGGAAAGATGAAACATGGACGAAATATATGGTCTGGTCACATCTACTCCTTACTTTATGGCTATAAAAACGGCCTGACCTGCCACGTGCAATTATTAATGATTGAAAACCTGAGAAATAATCAGTTTCACAGACATAAAATAGTCATCCTGCCTCACTGTTTCCCAAAGCTGTGAGGTTTACACAAGTTTCTCTGTTATTTTAACTTTAACTTCCTGTAAAATGTTCCAGAAGTATGAGTGAGAATAATCATAGGAATATTTTACTTGTGTTTATGTCTACTTCATATTCCTTTTTCACTCCTGCTTGTCATTCTCTGCTGTTTTAGTTACGTTGACACTGAATGGATGTCTCTTTTAATAACCTTGTAGATACAGGAACATAGAATAGTTTTTTTAACAAAGATTTCATCAGTTTTAGTTCATGTTTTCATGATTAGTCATCTCAGGTGAAGTTGAACAACTTTGCTTACAGAAGATGGAAATTGATTATTTCATGTTTTATTTTGTATGTAATTTTTTTCTTTTTAGTCTTTTCATGCTGTTTGTGATCTGGCTGCTGCGCAGATATCACTCCTTAGCTCAGGTGAGTCCACACACAGTGTTGCACAGAATACACTGCAACATGCTTTATCTGTTTATCTCTTATTTGCAGTCATGGGCAACTGTGTTGCACGTTCAGTTGACTGAATGACTCCTGTACAGGAGTACAGGAACACAGAAAAAAGTAACACCACATATTTTAATACTTTCCTCAGTTTCTAATTTCTGGGAAACAGGTCACATTAGTGCACACACTATAGGTTGGTCGTTGAGCAGCTAAAGTTTGTTGCCAACTGCTTTTTACAAAAACAGTTTGTTGATGGTAGTTTGGATAAGAGTTTCGAAGTTTCCATATAGTGAAACAACTTTTTTTTATTACTGCAGCACTTCACTTCAATGGTATCACCTTAATACAAACAGACAAAAACTAGGTTTTTCTGCGAGCACGTACACCAGAGATAACCTGGGCTATGTCAGGGGCGCCGTCAGGAATTCTGGGCCCCATGGAAGGATATCACAATGGGGCCATATGTTACACACCTAAGAACATGAATATATTTCTGCATACCATGCAGACTTCATTATTATTATTATTATTATTATTATTATTATTATTATTATTATTATTATTATTATTATATAACACTGTAATTCCACATTGCTGAGTTGGTAATCTGTGATTGACGGAAAAACTGCTTCGTTGTCAAATATTACAATTTTATTCAAAAAACCCATTAATTGCATTCACTTCATCACAAAACCTCTAATTATTCCAACAATTATTGCATATTTTAAAATGTTCTCCCACAACAAAAAAGTTTGACATTGGATGGCACTGTAAGTGTGCAGCTGCTTGTGGGTTCTCCTGTTGTGCAGCCAGTGCTGCAGGTCCATCAGGTTTTATCCTTCCAATCAGAAGTAAACGACAGCTCGACACATTTCAGTGATGCTACCCTTTTTTTACTCATGCTGAATGCAGTGATCTCACTTCCTCTTAACCCCTCTTCGTCCTTCTCTTCCTCCTCCACCTCTTACATCACGTAAACCCACTACATACCACAGCCTCACACAAAGGTTATCTCTCAGTCAATAGTCTTTAGCGCTCTCTGGCCCTCCTGCTCTTCATACCCTCCTCCTCCTCTCTCCTGCTATTCCTCTGTGGCCTTGGCAGGGTCACTGCTGGACATGCATTGATTTAGGGCTGTGTGTGTGTGTTTGTGTGTGCCTGTATGTGTGTGTGTGATTTTACCATGCCTTTATAAACACAGCCAGGTTCTGGGTAACAGCTGTGATTCTAGCCTCTAAAACAGATGAAGAAGTTTATTTTGTAAAAGGTTTAAAAAAAAATGAATCTGTCCTTTCTGTGATATTTGTCAATACATCTACAATTAGCTGGTTCTTTAAAGAGGTCATTTATATTTGTGTCTTTTTTTGTTTTAACTTGAGGTACATTTCCATTTCCACTGAAGCACCAGAGTACAGGGACACCATAGCCATTTACACCTTTACCACTGAAACTGTGAACCCTTTACAAAGTTGTAAAAACCTGTGGATTAGCATCTGCGTCTCACGTTGTTTCCTAAACCTACACCTAATGCCATTTTCCCTGTACAGAAGATGATCCTGAGCCTCACTGTGGCTGCGTTTTTTGACAGCGTGGCTTATGTCATGGTGAGTTTCTCTTGCCTCTCTCACACACGTACGCACAAACACATACTTTTATTTTCTTGATAAAATGCCTTTCTGTCTCCCCAGGGAGAATCCCATCCACCAGAGGGCTCTCTTTGTGACTTCCAGGCCTGGTGGTTAACTTACTTTGGTAAGAAATCCAGAAGAAAACATTATTAATGACCAACTGGCAAAACCTTTATGCGACAGCGACGTGTTAGCCAGAAAAGACATCTGCCAGAGAGCTTGTATATCAGCGTCAGCGCAGTGTTTGAATTGACAACAGAAGGTGCGTCAACCCCGTTTGTTCTAGCTAATAACATCTTCCACCCAGAGCCTTTGGAAAAATGGGAAGTGAGCAGTTGTTTCCAGTTCAGTTTGTATTTGTATATCAAAGGAGGGGAGATCTGCGTTCTCCTCTTAAAGTGCTGGCTGCTTGGCTGTTTTTATGACAGATTGAAGAGAGCAGTATTGAAAAAGTTGCAGGGGAAGGAAGAAAATACTAAACATGGAGCAGAGGCTGCAGGTGAAAAGTGAACCCAGGCTGCTGCAGAAGCTGTTAGGTTCGCCAACCCTGCCGGGTAGAATAACAACTTCTTCATCAATCTGCTACTGTTAGTTTTTCTGAAGCAGTCATGTTTTAAGTCATGGCCTTAACAAAAAGACCCTTTTTAAGAGCACTTGTTCCTTGTGGATTATGTTTTTTTAGCTTAACATTTAGCTCTTTTTTGGCTAGCTTTATGTTTTTCTTTTCAGCTGACCTCAGATCATTAATCTTAGATCTCATTTAACAATTCTGGCTTGAATACTTGGTTTGGGGTTGCCAAGATATCTGAAGATGTTTTTGCACATTTTAGCTATCTTTGAAACAGCCTTCTACTGTTTCCTACCTTTTGCTCTAATTTGGACTAACATTTATATATAGAGAGAGAGCTTAACTTGCTTTTCAGCATTTTGAACTTTCACTTTTAAAAAAATGACAATTTGATTGCATGTTTGGTCAAACAGACACTTATGCTAGATAAAAAATGTTGTAAAACTAGATGCAATTTTTTAAATTGCAGTGTTACGTGTTACAGTGGGTGTAGCAGTCCCAGAGGTGCTTTCACAGAATCTACTCTGACCTCCCTGGAAAAATGTGAAAACATAGTTTTGGTGAAAAACTCTCCAGTTATAGCATATGAACAAACAAAAAACATAAACAATGCATAGACTATTTGTACTCATCTCCCCAGATTTCAGAACTATACCTACAGAAATCCAGAAACTGGGACAAAATCCAACAACTTCTTCTACTTAAACAAACTATTTTTTAAATTACGTTTATTTTGCCAACTCATCCTCTGTGCCCCATACATAAGTTTTTTTGAGAAGTAAAACTTAAAGATTTTTGCCTTTGTTATTTGAATTTATTGTACAGCACCTAGCAAGGCTTTGCAGTTAAACTTGTACGTCATTTGGGAATATTCAGACACCCAGGCTAAGAACACCACACCCATAACAATGGTGTAACACCTGGGAGCTAAAACTCCGTGCTGCATACTTATTGGCCCCATAGCAGCCATTCATAACATCCAGTTTCAGACCGCATGCCTTTGTGTTTCATCACCTGTATGAGGCGAGGGTTTTCCTCCAATGGCAGTGCAGGAGTCGCAGCATTTCATCAAGGTTAATCACGGTGATCTATAGACGCTTAATCTGGCTTTTATTTGCAGCCAGCGCTGGCACTCGCTGCAATTACAGCTCTTTTAGCTTTAATTAGAATGAGGATTCTCAGTTAGGACGGGTTGAAAATACGATACTCCACCAGGCCTGTTATCATCTTCTGGCTGTCACACAGACACATACACGCATACACAAAGGCCTGCACCCACACGCACACACACACCCAGGGATTGGTAGAGAGGTAATGGGCAGTGAGTTACTGCTGCAGGGTTTGTGCGTGTCACCTCAGTTTATCATGAGGATCCTCTCGCCGAGGACAAACGGCTGTACATAAACACTGGCAGAACAAGCACTTTGTTCTGTTGCTGAGCGCCAGGTCTAGTGGGAGCCGCCGCAGAGCGCGAGCGACCCGCTCGGCTTTTACTTGGGCCAATAAAATTTTATGAAATGTGTTTGAAACAAGAGGAAGACGGTAGCAGGGGCCGGGGGTGCAGGTGGTGTCATCACGTTCAGCCAAAGCTTCAGCTGCTGCCTACTTATGTAAGACGTCTCTGCCATGGCGGTGACAGTGATTTATCGCCATAATGACGTCCACGGCCAGCCCTACCCTCTTTGTTAGTTACTGCAACCTTTACCAAAGGTTTGCCATGTGTCAGAAGAGCGTGTGTGCGCTCTGTAAATGTGTGCTTGTGTGTCTTCCGGTGGGTGTGTTGTGTGAATTTGAGTATGCATCCATCATTCTGTCCACCAGCCTTTTGTGTCCTGTCAATAGAAACTTGAGCACACACGCACGCAACAGAACTGAGAGTCCATACAGAGGCAGAAACAGTGAAATGATCTTTTCTACGCTCTCTGTTAAATACATTCATTATTTCCCTTCCCCTCACAGACTACGGCTTCCTCTCCTCCTTCCTTTTTCTCTCATTTCTGTTTTTCATCCCAGCTTCTCTGCACCAGGGGATCCGGTCCACTCCGTTTGCCTCCTCACCCTCACCCCCTGTCCTCCTCTTCTTTCTTTTCTCTCTTCCCCCCTCCACTGTGGCGTTATCTCCCTCTGCTTTTCCACAGTTCATCATTACCACTCGTTCAGCTCCCCCCTCTCATCCATCACCCTCAGCCACAGGTTTGCCTCATATTACTGCAGAATGGACCTCCATTTATCAAAAATTGGGGGCACATGACACACAGACGCACACTCACACACTAATACTGATGCACACTGTACGTGTATGTGGGGACACACATTTAGCGGTGCTTACTGTGTGGTACTGGGCAGTCTTGCAATTTGACCTTGTTTTTCCGTGTGTGTGTGTGTGCGCCCACAGATTGGAGTGCCTTGGCCTGGGTTTGCCTCATCACTTTGAATCTCTATTTCAACCTGGTCCAAGAAATAAGCACCAATAAATATGAGATGTGAGTAAAGACACTTGAAATTATTATTCCCGTTTGCTTTCACATAATAGTGTTTTTTCCTTTTTGCATTTAAGTAACTATAAACTTTCTAAAACATCAATCTTTGTCTTAGTAATTTCCTGGAAGCATTATTGAACAGGAAGTTACTTCCTTCAGTTCCACTGAACACCTCAGTTCTATTTATTACACATAATCAAATTTAGAAATTGTATGATCACCACACTTTTAATAAAAATTAAAATAAGACTGCATGACTGAAATTAGGTATAAAAGATAAATGTGCTTTCTTAACAAAGGCCCAGTCTTTTTGCAAAAGTTATTTGTTATTTTCTTTTAAGAAATTCTAGAAACTCTCGAGTGTGAGGTTGTTGCTACCTGCCAGAAGTAGTAAATATCTGGGTTTCAGTGGCCTTTATTTATTTATTTTTTGTATACTGTTTCCATTTTTTAATTTTACAAACTAATGGGAGACTAAACGTGATCATTGTATTTGTCTGTCAATGCCATCATATAACAGTACTTGCTCATCATAGTGACAATGCCTGTGTTTCGAGGTAGCGTTATGTTTATGGTTGAGCTGCACATAGAAAATGAACAAAGGTTTGGGTGTACTTCAAAAACAAAAAATACAACAAGGAGAACTACAGTTCATTGGTCGTACCTGTGAGACGGGACGAACCGGCTCTTCATTTATCACAAGGCAGCAGTGATTGTAGGTTTGAGGTGATCAGTGTTCTCTGTTGATGTGAGCAATGAGCAATGAGTAGTTGAGTACAAACAAGTATTGGCACACACACACACACACACACACACACATTGTAGCCTCCCTATGTACTGTACATCTGTAAAAACAGCGTTTTTGATCATTTCAGAAAAAATGGTTTCCTAGATTTATTAATTTTAGTGTTTACACATCAAAATTAATTAACTGATTAATTATTTAACGTCCACTAATCACACACTAATGACACATTTTCCCTGTTGCTGTTAAATTGTTAGAAATATTTTTTTAGTTTCCACAAACTTGCTAATAGGAAAAAACAACTTAACAGTAAAGTTAATGCAATTTTTGACCAAAATGATGATTTATATTCGGGACCAACTTTATTCAATTCACCATTTGTCTTCATCCTTAAACATTTTTTTAAACCAGGTGCTGGTTCATTGTGTGCCCTCCAACCCACTGACCTCCCTGTGCTCCATGTCTGTTTGAATTCTGTTTTGCATATTGTTTTGTTAGGGCACGTGTGTTTCCATGCGTATGTGTGTTTGGTCTGCTGTATTGTGCTTCTCCCTGCAGTGCGTTGACATCCCCCTGCCTGCCTCCCTGTTTCCTCACTTCTCCTCCTCCTCCTCCTCCTCCTCCTCTCCTGTTCCAGCCAGTCGACTCTCTAATTGAAAAGGGAGTGGGTTTCAGGCGCTCGCTGTTTGTGTTAGTGTGTGTGTGCTCGTGTGGTGCTCACCCATGTTCATGCTTTGCAGTGCAATGTTTTTTCGTCACTCTCACTCCCATGTGCTTTCCCCACGGCGCAGTGTGAATTTGTTTGTGTCTGTGTGAACTTTTTTGTCACTAACTTGAAAATGAAATGGCGCTGGTTGAAAAAAGGCAGTTTTAGTACGTTTCTGATGCCACTGTTTGATACGTAAACACCTCCCCCTCCCCCCACCCCCTCCACATCCGTCTCAAGGGGGTTTTCCTTGCAGTCATTAGCAATAAGCCACATGATTGAACAGTGCTATAATTCAGAAAATGATGTCTTTATGGAAGCAGGGAAGCAGGCAGGCTGGGAGGCCAGAATCAGCTGCTAGCACTGGCTTATAAACTGCACACTTCACACCAGAGAGAGTAATGTAATGTGGGAGGAAGATATGTCTGTATTTTAGTGGCTGGTGACACATGACAGGAAGAGGGAGTGGGGGAGGGGGAGACTCATCGCATTTAATAGGTTAGAGCGAAGCGAGGACAAGGCGTCAGGGGGGCTGTCGTGTTTTGACTGCACATAGATAAGCCATGTGTGTTTAGTTAGACGCGCCTGTGTGTGTGTTTGCGTGTGTGTGGCTTGCATGAACAATTAGCTCTGTGCCTATGAGCCCACACACACACACACACACGCACACACATATATATACAGAGAAACACAAAGGGATATTTGTGAATAAAAAAATCACCTGAAGAGATGGATAACGGAGGTTGGAAGGTCTTTGATGATGAAAGTGGATGTAGGACAAGGTGGGGGGCGGGGGGCAGTGTGTGGCCATACATGTGTGTATTTAGTTTTATTTTTGCATATATGACAGCAGGCTTCGGTTTACTGAACCAGTAGAAGAATTGGGGCTAGAGATTTTTCCTTACAGACTCTTATTCGTCTTTTTTATATCCTATTATTCTTTTCTTTCTTCTTATTCTTTTTCAAATATTTTCCTCTTTCCTCCAATATTTTCCTTCCTTCCTAATTTTTGGTTCACAGGTCCTTTGTCTACAGCAGACACTCAAATGCGGATGAACTCTGCATTAAGCACTTTTGGTGCGCGTGGCTACCTCCTACACTTAGCATGCAAGAAGTGGCCATGCATGCTAAGTGTTAGCTAATACCAAAACACAGTGCTGTAACATTAATTACCAGCAGTGTGATGTAATTCAACTGACAGGTCCTGAATGAGACATTACATTGCATCTCAATATAATTGTTAAGGAATAGATTGAAGAATTACAATTTTACTATTTAACACAGTTATCCAGTATTGGAAAACTATGGTTTGGGTTTCCTGTTGGTGTCAGTTATCGTTACACTAAACGCGCAGAGATAGCCGCAAAGCTGTATGTAGTGGAGAATTCAGAAGTGGTGAAAATGAGAATGAGCCTCTGGAGAGTTTTCTTCACGAGCTCACACATGTGCCAATCTGCATGTGTAGGTGTGTGCGTGTGTGTGTGTGTGAATCAAAGACATGCCACCCTTTTTAAACTTTTTAATGCCTGACCCAGACCTCAGTGTCTCCCTCGCTGCGCTTTGTGAGTGGGAAATGTGTGTGCTGCGTTGTGTACTTGTGTGTGTGCGCTCACTCCTGTGCGTCTCTGGCTCAGCGAGCTCCCGACATTGATTTCCTGACAAGCTTCCCTCCCTGCACCAATCGTCATGCCACGAACTGGAAGCCCTGATTTCGATCCCTCCACCACACACAGATTGTGTCTGTTCTCCCGTTGCTTCCTCTATTTTCTCTTTTAATCATGCAGTTTCTAGATTGCCTTTTATAGGCTCCCATTCCACTGTTCTTTTTTTTCTGCAATGCTTTCCTCTCCTGTGCTGTTCGATCTCAGCCCACTCTCTCTCCATTGCATCTATGCATTCTCTTTGTCTCTTTACCACCCTGTACTCTGCCCCATGTAAACCACCTCTCTGTCTCTACACCTTCCACACTATAACACTGCTGTCCATCAAAATGAAATAGGGGAGAAGGAGAGAGGGAGAGGAGGCGGGATACAGTGTGCCTCAGTAAACTGTGTGTGTGTGTTTGGTTTGCAGTTCCAGAGAGATGGTGAGTGTGTATGTGTGTGTTTCTCGGCCATGTCGTCACCGCTCGATTGACCGCACTTGGAACAAGTCAGGGCAGGACTTCCACTCTATTGACCAGGCGACACTCTGTGCTCTATAAAGTATCGACGCCCACACTGATGCCCAAGACACTGGAGCACACCCCTCATCTATCAGACCTACACACACCTCCAGTCGTCTCACATGGCCAGTTCTCCTGATCCTGAGTAGACTTCCTAAAGAACACTCCTTAAAATACATTGTTTATTAGTGTGGACATCTATGTGGATTTTTTTTCATCTAAAACCATAAACTCATGTGTACTTCACTTTGTCACGCTCTTGAACTGAGGATGACCTTTAACCTTTAGTAAATTACCTAATAGATTATTGAGTTGATCAGATCATAATTACTCAGTATCTTTATTAACTCAGTTTCAGTGTTCCAATTCAAAAAGTTCAAATAACCTGCTGAAAAAGGCAAATGACATTCCGACTGCTATTGGCAGCTCTGCCCCAGCTTTTTTACCTGTGAGTTTTACTTTTATCATAATAAAACAAATACCTGCACCACTCCCAGTGTACCGCCAATAAAGTCCACGTAATGTAGGTTGTCTTATGTCAAGCTTTTGTGTCACTTACAATAGCATTATTGAACATATATATACAGTATAAACATGATGATGATCTTACTACTGAATGAGATCGTGGCTCTACCTAAAGGTTGATAACGTAAGGTGACTTAACAAATATTGACAAATAAAGTCAGTGCTTAATTAGGACCTGTGTACATCACCTCAGGTAAAATGCAGTTTGGCTGTACACAGGCATTTTTCTGCACCTGAAACACGAGGCTGATGCGAGTGCCATCAGAGAAGTGGACTGAAGAAGAAAAGAATTGATTTAGTCGTAGGGCTTTTGTCCTCAGGGGCAGAGCTCCTCGGTCTCACCGCTCATAATGAAATAAATGTCTTTTATCAGGTTGTACCATCTGATGGCATGGGGGGTGCCTCTGGTCATGGCCTCTTTACCGTGGCTTAAGGGATGCTATGGCCCCGCGGGAGCCTGGTGGTGAGTATAGCTCTCTGTTCATTTACAGCATCATTTTTTTTTTTTTTTTGCCAGCCATCCACAGAGGCGCACTTTGTCTAAAACGTCTTAAAAGTTAAATAAAAGACTAGCCACAGCTCAAACTCCAATACAGCTTCAGACTTTCTTTGTTGCTCATATGGTTTTATTTGACAAAAATTGGCAATTATCAGCACATCCTTGAAGAGTTAACCCCCCTCCCCCGTACTTTAGTTCTTGCTATGAAAAAGAAAGACATTGTTTGTTTGGAGGGTAGTTAAGGCGGTGAGGATAAGGAGAAGAGGCCAAGGAGAGGAGGCGGTGGAATGAGAATTGGGACAGAGCCTTAATCTCCAGGCTCGCCTCTCTCTTTCCACTCTCGGCTTATTAATAGCTACAGCTGCACAGCTTTTTCCCCTCCGTAGTCACACAAGCTCCCGATCACACTCTTCTTTTCCATTGTAACCCTCTCATCGCTCTCTTTCTCTCTCTCTCTCTCTCTCTCCCTTTCTCCCTCTCTTTCTCTTCCTCTTCCCCCAGCTGGATCAGAGACGATCACGTAGCCTGGAGATTTGGGATGTAAGTAGACCCTTTCAGCGCTGCCATCAAAGCTTTTCCCACTGGGGGAGAGGTGGGAAGAAGGAGGGGGAGTCTCAGCAGGGAAATGTGAAGGGTTGCATGTCAGGGGAGCCTGCAGGGTTTTTTCCTCCCTCTTGGTGTAAGGCCAAGAATTGCGTGTGTATTTGTGTGTGTGAGAGTGTGTGTGTGTGTGCATGAAGATGTGCCTGTATCTGTCTGTGCCTTGTCAGATTTAGGGGAGTTGCTACACTGTGTGTTTAAGTGCTAAGAACGGCTATGAGGGATTATGCCTGTCTCCTGGTTTCTACAACTCATCCTAAGTCTGCAACGGCTCTGCCAATCCCTTTGTATAGACACTTGAACACACACACACACACACACACATACAAACGTTCATGCTCACACACACGCACACACATTGTAATACTTTGCCATTAGCCAAGGTAATCGCGTTGCCGCTCGCAGCATCAGCAGGGAATCAATCTTTCTAAACAAATAAGCACACACACACACATATACACATAGATAGGCACACACATACACCCGCACTCGCATAGAAAACAACACATAGCTTTCAGCCACGCTAAATGAGCCTGTGTCTCTTTCATCAGTGCTCTCCTGTCTCTCTCTCCAGTTTTCCATGCTGTCATGGCCCGGGGGGATGAGCTGCTCGCAGGATCAGGGAATCTTCATTAGCTCTAATTACATCAAACCAGACAAGAGATTAGAGGCCGAAGCAGCACCCTTTAAGGGGAAAAAAAAAAGAAAAACATTCACTAAGACACACACGCAATGCTTTCTGATTGCTCCCTGGAAAAGGTGCAGGCGAGCAGAGGTTTTAGTATTAAAGGTGAAAAGCGGAAATGGTGGGAAACATACGGGGCACAGTTAGAGAGATGGCAAATTACTCATCACGAGAGGGGAACGTGGAGGCACGGGAAGGAGAGGAGAGGAGAGTCAGGGAAATAATGTGCCCTCGTCTCTGCCCACACCCCGTAGTGTGTCTTCATCAGAGTTCAGCGGAGCGCGCAGACAGGACAGGAGGCGAGGAAGGCTCGGAGGAGGAAGAGGAGGAGGAGGGAGGATGTGCAAGTAGATGGAGAAGAAAGGGAGAATAAAACGCAGAGGACAGCAGGCAGTGTGTGACAGAGGTGCAGAAACTCAGGGAGGTTGAGTCAGCATTTGGAAGCACTCAGGCTTAGCTGAGTCACTTCCTTGCAGTGGCCCCTACAGCCTTTGTGTCTTTGGGCAGGTATACCCTTGAAAATTCTTCACAAATGATGAACCTAATAGAGTTCAGCACTGCGGCCTGTGAGTAAAACTCCCATTTTCTGAGTAGAGATTTTCATCAACCATATTATCAAAACCAAGGTTAACTCGCCAAAAACTGAGAATATTAAACACTGTAATTTGTTCCAGAGAAGACAATCATTACTGCATGAACTGCAATGGAACCATGAACAAGTGTTTAATTTCATCACCAAAGAGTCACCACTGACCAGGACATGGGCTTTCCCTGCCCCTGGTGAAGTTTAGAGGAAGGACGAATAATTTCTTTCTCATTTGCAGACAACATGCTTTTACATCACACGATATTATTATTATTACCTAGCAAAAACTTTACTGTAGCCTCTGATTGGAGACGGCAAAAGTACAGGATAAGATGTAGAACAAGACAAAGAATATGAAAAAAAAACTTTCCTAAACCACCTGGTTTTTGTTTTGGTTTGACCGGGGGCCAAAAATTGTTTTACCAAAAGAAACAATACAACTCCACCGAGGTTGTTGTGATGTTCCAGCCATCAGCTGTTGGTGCATGGACTTCAAATGCTACTCTTTTCTCAATCTTCCAGTGTAATAACGCTCTCCAGTTTGAGAACTTCAGCTGATGTTTCGACTTGAACCATTTTGCTTTTCTATTCTTTTTCATGTTCTGTCAACTTTCTCTCTGGGTGTACTCACACTAGGGCCAGTTTTCTGTACTGTGCTGAAGCCTAAGCCCCTTTGCCACCAACACATACATCAGTGACTTGTTTATATGCGGGTGAAGCGGGGAGTGAATCTGAGAACACGGCTGCAATGACTGTCTTGATTTATTGGAGGAGGTTCTCAGTCATGTGCTGCACACATACAAAGATTTTGCAGAGGCAGCAGAGATCTACTTAACCACGCTTGTTCGCCTGTGTGACCAAGTGAACTGTGCTCCGACCCAGCTCTTCTAATTGTCCCACAGCCCGGAAGTGTGTTGAAGTGTGAAAGCCAAAGAAACCACTGTGTGATGACCCTACTGTGAGTGCACCCTCTGTCCCTTTCTTTTCAAAAGTCTAACTTTAATTAAACATTTAAAAAATGCAACTACATTCATACTACCAGAGCAAAATACACACTTATCACATGACCCTCCAGTTGCGTTGACCTGTAGATGCGTGTGAATTTGTAAAGAAAGAGCTAAATTTCTCCTCTGTAGTCCTTTCTATCCTCTCCGCTTGACTTACTGTACTATAAAAGTGCAGACGACAGGCGTAACAGTCACAGCTGTGATGCATTTTAGAGTGAAACGCAGCAGTGTGGTTGTAACTTTAGCATCACACACAGGAAAGGGGGCCAAATTTAGCATGTCCACCTGGGTGTCAGGTTTTTATCTCTGCACCTTGGGGCTGGCATTCTCTAATACCTGTGACAGCTGTAGACACATTTGCTGTATTCTTACTTTCCCTGTAAGGACAGCAAATAAATGGTTGTGGATTTCTGTCTGTGAGAGAAGCAGTGTCAAAACAGACACCTGCTTGTACAGTATGTGAGACCTTACTGGTTTCTTTAATTGTCCCCAAGGATGTGGAAGTCAATATTGTGCCAGGCGTGTCTGCTTTCCCAAACCTCATCCATGGTGCTTGTTGTAGTACTCGTATCACATCGCTACATGTATGTTTTTAAGGGCGGTGGTGGTTAGTTCTTTTGCCTTGATGGGTCTCGAACCCAAATAAGCTGGAGTCCTTTATTACCATATTATCGATGGGCCAAAAACTAACAGCAGGGATTGCAGATTACATTATACTTGGATCCAGCTGTGGGCCAAGAGTTTGAGACCCCTTGTTTGTGGGTTCGATTCCCAGTCTTTCTGTATGAAGTATACTCTAAATCTAAACCAATATTTTTTTAACGTAATAGGACGAACATCGAGCAATGACCCATTTTTCTTTCAATCTTCCATCAAACTTTACCTTAAATCCCTTTAGCTCCTACAAAATTGCCATTCAAACATAAGCAACTTAAAATACAAATCAGTGTATTCTCCCCGCCATGGGACAAATAATAAAAAAAAACATTGAAATTGAAATTCATTTGCATTGCTGCACCCTCCCTGCAGTAGGGACCACCCCTCATTTGGAAACTACCACTGACCATACAGTAGGTCATTGTGAGTTTTTTTTTTTTTTTTTTGCACCTTTCCACCTCATTTTCTTTCCTACATGCCTCAGGGTGATCAGATATTACCATTTGCTCTTGAAACACTTGAAACAACTGCATTAGTCTGAAACTAGCACACAAACTTGGTCATGTGTTCACCTTTTTGCTCTTCTTCCAAGGTTAAGGTAGAGGTTTCATATTTCCTTTACCTTTCAATTCTATCTATCTTGTTCTGTAAATGGTGGAACATCTTGATCTTTCACTCTGCTCAAAGATCTTAGAGGTCAAAGTTGCCTGCTGTTGAACACCAACAAACATGGGTAACCCCTGACCTGCACTCTCATCTCCAGCAAGGCACTTCAATTAAGGCTTCTTTTTCCAAGCATCATTCTTCACCTCACAGTAGAACCAGAGGGAAGGCAAAGCCAAGGCAGGGAGATTGAATCTCAGCCCATGTGCGTTAATTTTTCTTCAGGCTTTCCCACCTATTTGTGTGTACTTTCCTCCTAAAACTCATCCTGCTTCTGTATTTTCCATCTTTCTCTGCCTGATCTATCCACTTCTGCTTCCTGCTGCTGTTCTCCTTTCAGCATGACCTTATCCCTCTTCCTGTCTCGTAATCACCCAGCACCTTTTTTCCTTTTATTTCAGATTTCTCTTCCCTTCCTGGTCTTGACCTACAATCTTCCGTCATCCATCTTACCTTTTTCATTCTTACCTCTTCTATTTTTTTCCGTTTCCCATCCTCTGCGCATTCCGGATTTTGTCCCTCTCTCCACCTTGATTTTATTATTTTTCTCCTGCTCTCCCTTTCCCTCTCTGTCTAATTCGCTCTTTGCCCCCCCACCTTCTCCCTTCTCTCCTGCTCTGTCTCCGGGTAGTGCTCAGCTGTAGAGCACAGCGGACTCTAATGGCAGATCATTATCATGCTAATTAGAGCACTTTGTAGCTGCCGCCCGTCATTCACTCCTCGGCACAGCCCCTCCGCGCTATTGTTAAAAACGACCACCCCCCCGCCATCACTTCCCCTCTGCCGGCAACCCTTCCAACCCTGTCTCTCCATCATTAACAGGACGTGCACTGGCGTAATTGGACGCTGTTTATTCCAGGGATCAGGTTATTAAATCACACGAGGTGACGCTCGCACCGCCCCCCTCTTCCCCCAACTGGTTTCATCATCATCCCGTGCCATTATTGATCGTGAGCGCGAGTGCCCACGTGCATATGCACTCAAACATGCGTTAAAATAATGAATAAGACGTGACGATGATGCAAAGACGACATTCCTACTTTTAACAGCTGTGAAGAAGCAGAAAACAACACCAATGAAACCCTTAATTTGATGATGCTGAGCCAGGTTCTTTCTACCTGCTGGATTAGGGGTGTACCGCGTTAAATCGAGCCAAAGACCAAATATATGCACACTGCTGCCAAAGGATTTAGTTTTTAAAAACAAGTGTCAATGTTTTTTCAGGCAGTACCAAATATATCTATTAAGGGATTAAGAATTGAAGACAACTGACAGACAGATAAGAGTTCCAATGTCATGTTTTGTCTGTTTAAAAATGTTTTCTTAGTCCTACACAAAAGTCAAATTAAAAATGGTTTCAGTAGCAAATGTTTGGTTCAGTTATTCTTAGCAATAATAAGTGAAAATATTTCCCGGTATCCACTGCAAACATTAGCCCCAGAAAACTGTTTGTCCCTGGTAAACTAAAAGTGGTAGAAATTGTACCACGTAGTTCAAGCAAACGATATTTCTTGGAGCCGTTCCTTAACCCAACCAACTCTTTAGCATTGTGTTGGCTAAAACTGGCCAATGGCATGCTTCTGTAGTGTACATATATGTTTTTCCCATGTCTTCATCCTATTAGAAATATGGTTTGGTTTGTTGTTTGTTTTTGAAATGTGCTGTGTTACCAAGTGCTTCTAAATCCTCTTCAGTAGAATTCATCACAACAGCACAACAGAGTTTCACTGCTGTAGTTTCACACAATGCCTGTCTAAATGCGTTGCAGTTGTGCAAGGGATCATATGTCTGTCACAAAGGGATCTTATATGCTTGTATGCTGAACAGCACAACATTCAGATCTGGAGTTCAGGTTAGTCAGCTTGAGAGGCGTTTCCAGGGTGCCCTGATGCACATCAGGGAAACACTGTGGCCTGTCAGTGTTCTCTGCAGCCCTAGTTCACAAACCTGTATTTGTTCTCCTGACTCTCCCTTTCAAATGTCAGTCCTATTATCTTCTAGATTACAATCAGTTCTATAATTACTCACTGTGGTCCTTCCCTCCACAGACCATTATGGTAATTACGGAGATTCATTTAGTGCCAGGTGCTTTGAAGAGGTTGGGAGTTTCACAGCACGGCCGTCACTGCTGCAGGTAACCAAGGCAGGCAGGAGAGATGACCAGGAACTTGTCTATCAAAGAGAGACAAAAGCTCTGTTTTGTGATTACAGGGAGAGGCAGAAACTCCTATGAGGTTACATCACCTCCCAGGAGGTTTCATAACACCAGACTTCCATTCCAGCTAAGACGTCTGCCACCACCCCGTTACCCTCGCTCGTCTTGCTCATCTTTCATCCGCTCAGAAATACCTGACATATTACACTCCCCCCGCGCCTCCTGTCCTTGTCAAGCCTTCATCCCAACGGAATGCTACGTCTTTCATGTGCTGTTACTTCCCTGGCACTGTCTTTTGTTCCCCATGCACGTCTCACCTATGCTCCCTGCAGCAGGGGTTGCTGAGTCAGGTGTGTTTCGTGTTGTCTGTGTGTCCTCTACACTTCCGGCGGTGTCCTCTCATAAAATTCACGCTCGCTCATACATCACTATGTCATCAGTTCATCTGTTATTCTTATCTTCTGGCAGTTTCTGCTGCACATTGTGTGCAGTTTAAGCCACCAGTGGCCAATGTGACTCTCCTTAAAAGAGAATAACAGAAAAACGTAAGGATTGTTTAATGTTTAAAACAGATCAAGAAGATATTTCATTACAGTTACTATGATTTTGTTCAAAGAACCATACCGGAACAGGGCTATTTTCCTGGTCTGCAGCAAATCATATCCAACAACAATAAACTTCTCAGGTTACGATCCTCCAGGGGAAATCTTATTAAATGAGTTCTGTGGTTTAATCTCTTTATAAGTCCACGATATCAAAATATTGGACGCCTGGCATGCTATTACCTTCAATTATGGCATAAATTTCATTAGGATATATTACACTGTATTTTAGGGGGCTGGAAATTCAATTGAGTTTTGTTTTTTTCCCCACTTTCCTTGTATGTCATTATTATGTAATATCTAGACTTTGCCGGTGTCTAGTCAGAATGTCCTATTTATTCTACCAAACTGGGTCTCCCATGACCCAAATGGAAGCAGCCTTAACAAACGTAACAGACGACTTTGACAGCATCTTACAACGTGTGTGTGCTCCACAGATGGTATGTGCCGCTCTTCACCCTTATCTTCCTGATGATCTGCTGCTACGCCAGGATTATCTGCGTGGCCAATGCGAGGGTGAGTAATTCTCATGCATCTAGTCGACAGCAGCCCAGAAGCAGCACGACGCACCGGCCATTAGGCTGAATCTAAATGCATCGTGACCTTTTGGAAAACTGACACGGGTGAAAGATAACACAGTACTGCTGCCTGCCAGTTCTCTTAGAGCCGACAGGGGAGGGGCAGTGAAAATCTAATATAAAGAAAAGTCTGGGAAATATTTTCAAAATATTTATTTGTGTAAAATATATATTCTTTTCAAATATTAAAAAAGAAAATGTATTGACTAATAGACTGATTCAGATAGACATAACAGTCTATAATCAATCAGTCAACCAACTGTAAGAAACAACACACGGTGTTGTGATGGCGTTTTATGCTTCTGTGAAACAAAAACCTTTTCTGGTGGAGTTAATGAATATACAGTACGTTACATATTAGAGCTGATGCATCAAATACGTTTAAAGTTTTCATCTGAATAATTTCTTTAATTCTTCTAATTCTAAGCCTTTCATTTTGGCAGCACTCAAATATTTAATATACGTTCAAACAGCACTGATGGTGGTGCAGTTTATGTTTATATATTTTTATATATATTTTTTATGCATCTTTATTTCAATGAAATAATGTAGGTGATTTTCACTAGAAGATGTAGCGAGATGTTAAAGACTAAAAGACTTTAAAATCCTGCCGTGTGTTGATATGTGACACAACTATTTAAAAACTTTATCTTGATGCTAGCTTCTTTGGTGTGGGCTGAAATATTTCTGAACGTTTAAAAAAAACTTAAATAAACGTTTGTCCATCAATGCTAATGCCCTTATAGTTTAATGCTGGCACTGCTCTCACAAACTTTGATTCAGCTGTTGTTTTTGGGAAACACGATAAGACTGTGGTTACTATGCTGCTCTGCCGTTCCCGAGATTCCAGTCCTGGTGACATGGCAAAAAATATACACAAATAAACAAGAGATCAGATAACCTGGACACGGCGTCTAAGCAACTAAAATGCAGGTAAAACTAAAAGCACAAAGTGAGAAGTTGAACCGGCAGGTCATGTTTCAAAGCTGTTGTCATCGTGTGTATTTAAATCCACTGATCAAACCTGTTGTTCTGAATCAAAATGACAACTTCTAAATCGAATGATCTAACCGCTTTTTTGAACATATTGCATTTCCATATTATTAAAATTAAAGTTTCTTTTTCCAGCAATCCTTTCCAGCCAACAGCACCCAAGGCCAAACCCATAAAAGTCAGATCCAAGGTGCAATAAACCTGAAATATTCCCTAAATTTACTGATCGTTCAGAAAATCTAATATTTTATTTTTTGGAACATATTTTATAGCAGTTTGTAGTCTTTGGTGCTCTTTTGCAAATCCAAATTAGGAAATGATATACATCAGTTTAATGTCTCTACGTTTTGGCTTTAAATCACAGTCAAACAAAAATATATTCCATTAAATTTAAGAAATATATATTATTTCATAATGATATATTATTTCTTTTTACCTACTAATTATGTTTTCAGGATTTAAAAAGGCTACCTGTGATATTGAAAATTTAAAGCAGTTAAAATTTTCAATTGCTATTCAATAATGGTGTGTTTTCTTCTTCTTCTTTTTTCAAACTTGTTGCTTTATCACACAAAGTATTAACTAATAGAGTCCACTGATTAACCAGTTAACTCTTAGATAATGGTACTGTGATGGACTGTTGATTTCTCTGTGGTTTTCCACAGAGGACACAGTACAAGCCCAGAGGCAGGATTCCTCACAGTCCACATAGCTGCCATTCCGTGCATCTGACAACACCACACAATGTGGCCATAGTGCCACAGCTCAGCACTGAAAGACTAGTGTTCATAATTATATGTGTGGAGGGGGGGGGTACGTGTGTTAGTGATGTGTGTGATTTCATCAGATTCAGAGAGGCTGGGGGACTGAAGGCACACCAGACTCATAATGAAGAGATGCACATGCTGCGTTCTGGAGTCAGAACCAGAGGCGACACAGTGAAACTGATTTTGCAGATAGCCGTTTGCAGACGGCGATGTTGGAGATAGCTGAGGGGGAAAGGAAAAGAAAAAGAGACTACACAGCTCTTTATCAGCGCTGTGATAAAAAAGAAAAAAAAAGAAAGAAAGAATGAATGTTGCTGGGTTTATTCCTGCATCTCATAACTTATTCAGATCACATTATTCATCTCCCTCTCTCACTGTCTCTCTCGTCCTTTCCTCTTTCTGTATTCTCCACCTTTTGCACCGCTTCCCCTTACTGTCTCTGTGCGTCTGTCCCTCTCTGCCTTCACACTGCCATTTTGCTTTCTCTATCATATTTATGAAGAGCTCAAGCCTTATCTCTTCTTCAGCTGCAGGCAGTCTCACTTGAAAGACTTTCAAAGGCTTTGAAAGCAGGGTAGGTGGCGACGCAACGAGAAAAAGGATATAGGAAAAAAGAGGATGGGCGAAGAGAAGTGGGATGTAAGCTGGACGGAGAAGTTTCTACACTTTCTGATAAAAAAGGGATCCTGAGGAAATCACTCTAAAACATGGGAATTTGTTTACCAAAAACTTAGGGAAACGTTTTTCATTCCTCTCAGCTTGTAAATCTGACCACAGTCTTCGTCCGAGTTTACAAGCAAAGAGATGGAAGTGAATTACTGAGGCTGCCGTGACTGAGTGCTATATACCTACATTAGGCTTATTACTGTGGTGACAGGTAATTAATTTTATAACATTTTAATTAATTTACATCCAAGATTCATGATTTCTCTCGTGGTTTGGATGTTACCTGAAGACGGCAGGCGCTATTGTATGATCATGCAGAACACTGCTGTTACAACGAAAGTACAATGGTGGATCATACAGAAGCACGGTTGAGTTTAGTTTTCCCTGAATCATTGTGTATTCAGGGGTGATACGGAAAAATTGTTAGTGCTCTTGTTTTATAATAGGAAGGTCACCTGTTTGCTGATGCAATCTAAGGTCTTTTCACAGTTTAAAAACATGCAAGATGAGTTTAATTGTTCACTCTAAACTGATCACATGTGTGAATGTCAGTGTAAATGGCTGTCGCTGTATGTGGTACCTGTGATGGACCTGTGAACTTTCAAGGGTGAACTGCATCCTGGCCCAGTGACTGCTTCAGTTGTTTCTGTCACTGTCCGCATGATACAAATACGATCAGTAAGTAAATAAATAACTTCATGGTTATTATAGTGCTCGAGGTGCACCAAGTGACCTTCCCAATCATTTTGCACAAGGGTTTTGTGTTAGAGAACAGGAAACAAAGCTCACAAGCTGGAGCTAATATGTCCTTCTCCTGGAAGTACTTCACACTGAGCGGAGAAAGCTCCAACCTTGTTTAACTACAAGGTTAAATTGGAACAACACACATAATCCAACACTTAAAACACCACTAAAACACATTTTATCATCTTCCAGAGTTTAAGTACGTTTCAAGTTGTGCAAGAGGTTTTTAAGTTTGGCAGGGCTCGTGGTAGATGAGAAGAGAGATCGTCTGCCATGCGAAGCAGAGAGGTCGACTTTTTTTGAAAAACTTTTTTATTAACTCTTCTAACCTGCTGCGCATATTACCTTTGTAAATGCTGTCAATTGGAGTAAATTGAAATCAGAAAAAATCGGTAATGGAGTTACACACTGACATTGTACTTTCCTTCATAGTGCTTTGGGTGACAGAGCTGGTGAAACCAGTGATTTGAGCATCTTTTTAATTGTTTTCAGAAAGGTTGTACATCCGCACTCATCTACCTTTACCAAAAATTGGGGTGACCCACAGTTCATATGTACACTTCAACATTTATAGCATCAGCCCTAAAACACAGAAATATAACAATAATTGAATTCTCTTTACCAGCGATGGAGATAAAGAGGTGTTCCTCCAGCTTTAGGAACTTAAATGACAACTTTTAAGTCTTCTTTAATCAGAGTAAAGAAATGTTTGTTTTCTGATTTAATATAAATGTCCTGAGTTTCTGTGTTGGTTATCACTGGAAAGGTATTAAAGCCAATGAGTCATGATCAGGCCAGACAGGGGAGACAGAGTGTTTGTTTTACGGGTGTGATTCCCTCCTTTCCGCTCAGCTTCACGCCTGAACACTTAACCGGCTCAATTGCTCGCTTCTCTTTTCCGTCACTCGCAGGATTGTAACAAAAGCCGGGTTCACTCACCGGCGACTCGGCCACAGTCTAACGGCTGTTTATTATGACTGTGTTTTCATTTTGATGGATAGCGGTGCTCAGGCGTAAAGAAAAGAAGGGCTGCTCTGGGCCGCGTTTGATCTCGTCACCCAGTACGGATGTGGTCATTTTTGTTTGTGCTGCACAAAAGCAACACAGTCACGTAAAGGTGTGTAGAGACTACACATCAGCTCAGAGATGCCCGGCGTTGTCGAGTCATTACGTAGCAATACAACTGTTAATGTGTATCATTTGTACTGCCTTTGCGTGTTTGCGAGTGTGTGTGTTTTATGCCGAAACTGTGTCTCCAGAGATTTGTCGGCGATGTCTTGGGTTACATAAACCTTCTGCTTTCTCAGCCCCTGCCTCCCGCCTTTCTCCCTCCCTCTCCCTCTCTACGTCTCTCCCTTCTGTCCTGCCATTACAAATCCCAGTCTCGTGCGCTGGCGTGTACATGCATGCATGCGCGTGTGAGTCTGTTGACATTTTCCCTCCCTTCCCCCCCAAGAATCAAGACAGAGGAAGAGAAAACTATTCCCACGTTCACTCCAGAGATTTCAGATCTGCCACGCTCCTTCCTCTTTTTTTCTCTCTTTCCTTTTCGCTTTTACACTTGCGCTCAATTTTCTCTGCCCCCTGCCTTTTCCTATATCATTCTCATGTCATATTGTGCGCACTTAAGCTGATCAGTTCCCTCCTCTGTGCGACTTTCCGAGCTCCCCGGCTGCCTGTAAAAAGCTGCAGCCCACTGAGAACTCGGTAATTTTGCAAGAATGTGGGAAAAGATGGAAGGATTCTGTGTTGGCGTGCTAGCCAATGCAATATTTGTTCCAGCTTGTCACTGCAGGCACCCACATCTAAGTCTGAAGCTTCTCTTGTGAAGAAAACCAACTGACTGACCCGGTTTTTTTATTATTGTTGTTGTTGTTTGTTTGCCTTGGCTGAGAGTATGTGGCCTGACCTTTTCTTTCTGTTTCATGTCTCCTCTGAACAGTTACAGTCCTGGCTGGGAACCTTCAACCCAGAGAGGGAGAGACGGAAGGTAAATAGTGTGTCTGATCATCATATTTCTCAACACACACACACACACACACACACACTCAGTCCGGCACACTGGGGGCATGAGGATTAAAGTGTGTGCCGGATTAGCACTTGTGGTCACGCTGTGTAGGTGTCAGACCCAGCGGTGTAGAAATTTGCCCTCTTGACCTTCCATGTTTGTGTGCTTGACTGTGTGTATATAAATATGGAGACATGCACCTATGCAGAATATTCTGATTTTACTGAGGGGGCAGTAAACAGAAGGCAAAATGAAACATTATAAAAGTCCTTACGAAGTATTACTCAATTATAAATGATATTCCTGTTAAAATAATCCCTTAACTATTTGCTTTGACACGCCATAACTCCTGCCTTTATTCTGCACCATCATTTAACTGCACTTGGAACAGTCTTAACCTTGAAACTCATCAGTGGTCTGGTTGAAGGAATATTTGACTGGATTAACACTGTAACCCACTTTATGCTGTTTTCAAAATCTGACCAATGTATTTGAAATGACAAAATATTTTTATTCCAAACTCGACAATTTGAAGAATGGTGGGATCATTAGTTTATGACATAGTGATGTAGTTTGTCACAGTACCAGTGGTCGTTGTACTAGCTGAAATGAATTGGTGATGTACAGGATATATTGCTAGAACTACATCTAGTGTTAGCAAACATTAGCCAAATCAAAAATTAAAAACCTAAGTCAAAACACCAAACGCATCAAGTCAAGATGAATAGCAAGAACTCCAGCTAAAAGTCAGTTGCACAAAAAAAGCCTGAAGAAAATCAGCACAAAATTAGCCGTAATGTAGCTACATTTGTGCTGTACACAAAGAAGTCAAAAAGAAATGGAAATGTTCATACCTATTTTCCTAGGACTGAGTGTGTGTCTTCATCTCATGCTGTGATATAAGACGTATTATAATGTCTCTCCTGAGTCCCAGTAATGTATGAAAGTCTAAGACTAAATTGCTTCCTTGCCTCATGAGATAAATTCTTATAGAAGGTTGTACTAAAGTATTTCCTATTTCAGACTTTTTGAACGTTTTTTTTTTTTTTTTCCATTTCAACTCATCTCCTGGCTACAGATTTGGACGTGTCCTCTCAAAGTTTTCCTTGCTCTCACATCAAGTACCGCTATAGAGACAGCAGCTCATTAAAATTAATCACAGCATTCTCCACAAAGGTGGGAAGTGCAGCAGCATGGCTCCTGAAAAGTTAAACATCTAACAGCAGCGTGCCCCACTCTGCTTTCAGTGTCAACCTCCTCCTCCTCCGCCCTGCTGTGCTCCGCTCCACCTCACCCTGCAGGGTCAGGGTGTGGAGGGCAGTTTAGGGTTAAGGTTATGTAGATGCTGCCCCTAAGTGGCAGATGTAATCACTGCACTGTGAACTACTGTAACCCTGCAGGCCGTCTCCAGCGATTGCAACACAAACACATACACACCATTCTTGTGGTCTAATTGCAGTGCGTAACACAGAGTGTAAATAAGTCGGGAGTCGTTTTGATCTCTCCCTCTCTTCCCTAGTATTTCCCCTCTCCTGCCGGCCGTCTTGTTTCCATCTGTTTGTCACTCAGCCATTAACATCACACAATTTTTCTCTCCTTTTTTCTCCTCCCTCTGTCACTTGTTCATTCTCAATCGTGCACTTAAACTCAGCATGAATAAAACAGCATGCCAGGTTTATGGACATGAATATTTAGGTGAGTTTATGTGCGCACTGTGATGCTTTAAAAACAACAACAGCCTCCTTGATTGTGCCTGCCAAGTCAGCGAGCCCCGGTTTGTGTGTCTGTGTGTGCGTGTGTGAAAGCAAGAGAAAGTGGTTCCTGCTGGACGGCTGCTGCTGTGCTGATTTTCATTCACTCTGTCAAATCTGCCTCCTTCTGCGCCTCACGTGTTCTCGGTTGCTATGTGAAAAACACATGCGTCTACACGTCTGGTGTTTTGTGCTAACACTTTCATACATTCACAATTTTCAATTTGTGTTTTATCTCTGACTCACCCAGGCAACACAACCACACCTCGGTCTCTCTGTGTGCTTATCTTGATATGCAGATATAACTGTGACAAGTAAGACTTATGCCGTCAGCTGTCGGCTGCACTCAGTCACATGTTGGTGATTCACCCCTGGTGGCCATGTAGTAATGCACATATTTTCTGACTATCACATGATCTAGCTGCAGTGCAGGCCATTAAGTGTCTATTAAAGTCAATGTAATTCTAGTCTAGTCAAGTCAAGATAAGAACTGATAAGAATTTACCATTTACAATTCCATTATTCTTATTGATTCGCATTGATTTAGGAAAAAATATTTGGCATTTCATTATGAAAAGTGAAAACTGCTGGAATGAATAAAAAATACTCTACAGAAATAATAAAGGTGTGTTAGAGGTACCTGGGTCAAATATACACTGTAGTGGAATGAGGCAATGACAGAGGACAGAACGTGGATGAATTTAACGTCACCCTGCTTATTTGAATAAATAAAGGTTGTTTTGCGCGCTCCGGCAAGCCAGTCATTAGCATACGCTATGCAGTGCGTAAACGATCGATCGTAGATTAGTGTCTTTTTTTTCGTTAAATGCGACCATACATCAGACTGCTTCTGTCTCAACACACTGTTGTAAACACTCTTTGGAGAGCATCAAGCAAATACTGCATTAGGCAAATGCGTGAAATCAGTAGGTGGAATTTTTATGTAAGTTCCAAGGAATTGGACAAATGGTTTGATGGAAGAACTAGTTCTGAATTCTCATCCTTTTTTATTGTCCTTATTCCTGAATAGAACAGAAATACAGTCCACGTGCAATTATCACCCGTTAGTTTGCAAAAACGTTTCAAGTTTCTGTAGATATGGAAATACATTTCATATATTTCAATACGATTGAGGAGGAAGTGGAGAGAGGTCCAAAACAAACATTACCTGGAGCCTGCAACTATTTATTATTTATTCAAGTTCAAGCTGGAAACCAGTCAAACAATGTTGACATTATATGTGCTAAATGTATTAGCAAATATCAAACTGTTGCTTATTAGCAGAGCTAATATTAGGAGAGCTAATATCAGCCAATATAAAGCAGTTGGCCCAATGTGCTCTCCATAGATTCTACCATAACCTCAACCTAACGATTCGCTTTTTATCCTCAGAGATAAAGTTTTATGTCATCAGGACCAGTTGTTTGAAATCCTTTTAGGATTTGAACTTGTGAGGGGAAAAATGTGCACCAGTGCCATGAATGCTTTTAAATGTGTTACGTAAAGTCACCAAACACACACCTACACCAGGTCCTAATTTTTGATCAAAAACCGTCACCAGAAAAAAAAACTCTAGACTAAACCATTTAAACCAGGTCTTAAACACCGTTTGTCATCGTGCAGAGACTCCAAAATGTGCTCATGGACGTGGCTTCAATCCAAAACTCGTCTGTGCCGTTGTTGAATGTAATATACACACACAAAGACACACACATCTACTTTTAAACACATTTGCACAACTGCACACGCAGCAGCTCAGTCCCGTCGGGTAGCAACAAAGCTGGCTGAGCAAACAGCGAGCTGCTTGTTCGTTATCTTCCCAGGGTGTTTGTTTACTGAGCCACACGAGCTTCGCCTTGAGTCACAAAGTGATATGTCTGCTTACTGTATGTGTGTGTGTGTGTGTGTGCATGTGTGAGTATCCGCACCGCATACTGTTCTGTTAAGCTGTCCGTGGCTCTTTAGTCTTCTCATTTAATGTGCCCACCTGTTTCATTTTGACATATTACTGAAATACTGACATTCTGGAAAAGTAAAAAAAAATTAAAACATGGTTTTTAAGCAGTTTTGATCAATTAATCTATTAACCCATTGGACTATCCATCCTTCTATTTATCCATCTATTAACCTGATATTCATCCATCCACATATTCATTCATCTATCAATCCACCTCCAATCAGTTTTTTTAGATTTCATCATTTTTATTCATCAGTCCATCCATCTGTACAAAACAAATCACACAAATTTGGGTTAAAACTAATTATTTTGGATTAAATACAATGTGTTTAATGGACACCATCACATCTTCATGAAAAAAAGACATTGTGTCTTTACAGCGACTCAGTATACTACCCTTGAAATGAATCCATCCGTATTAGTGAACTGTTCTAGTGCATGTTTCGAGTCAGTTTTTAAATGTTTCTTACTCAGAGACAAAAGGTCAAATTTACAGAACTGTAACCGTCTCACCCAGCTCTGTGCTGCTCTGCTTGTGATGTTCAAAAGTTCAAAAATAATTGTCAATCAGAAAGAAAATGTGGAATTGTGAAAAACGGCTTTAACTTGGAGTTCCCTCTAAATGTAAGAGAATCCCTGATGGTTTTGATGAATGGAAGGCAAATTAACGTTTTTGCTAAATTAAAAAAAACACAAATTTCCTTTTATTAATCTCTTAATTTGTGGCCTTTCATTTATCAGCATAAACTTTCAACTCTCCTTTATCTTTTATCCAGAAGCCCTGATGCTGTGCTTTTAAGAGTTGATTTTTTTTGTGATTAGAGTGCGAGCGATAGCGAGTCCAGGGGCTGCTGGATGGGATAGGCTCCCCATAACCGTCTGTAATCTAGCATGCATCATTAATGTTGGGATCGTTGAGCCCGCGGCAGATAATTACGGTCTCATTCCCCTCTGCTTGCCGAGCAGCGCAGGGGCCTCTGACACAGGAGGACTGTAATTAAAAACATGAGGTTCGTCCTCCTCCCCCGCCTCCTCCTCCACTATTCCACATCCTGTCTCGAGCAAGCTGGAATTCCTCAGCTGCCTGTCTCTACACCTCACCTAAATTTTGTATAGAGATGACATGGCTCCCTAATTTGTGGAACATTTATTCCTCCACAAACAGCAGAGACACCCACAGATGTCAGTCTCTATCCACGCTGCATCCTTCACACTCAAACTTACTTGGCCCTAATCTCTTGTGACTGTGAAATGTTCTTCCCAAACCACCACACATTTACAAAGATACAGTAGGTAAAAATGAGATTACAAAGGAGCCTGACTGTCCGATAATAATAATTTACAGAAACGCTACAGTTCCACTGACGTTTTGCAACGCTGACATCATGAGTGTCCTTATACTGTATATTAAAGATGGATGTCCCCTCTGACTTTGAATGTTTAAAGCCACTTAGAAAGTTGTTGTAATACCACTGGTAGACACTAGGGGAGGGGTCTGAAAAAAAACTACCAATCACATTTTTCATAAGCATCTATCAGAAATAAACCTTCTAATTTCTAATGTTGCTGTAATTAAAGATGATTCATGGCCTTACCGTCAATTGTATGGTTATATGCAAAATTGACATGACGTTCGAGGTCAGTGAATAAAATCGCTAACATTTCAGGAAACTACAACTGGTATAATAAATCAAGTCCAGTTTTCATTTCATTGACTCACATGCACTAGAAAGTACTTCCAGAACCATCGGAGAACCCCTGGTAACGTCTTTGAAAGCAATAAATAGCTCTGTCCATATCTTTATATAGAATCTGTTGTTGGTACTAATCCAACAAGATTTGGCAATCGAAGCACAAATGATCCAAACTGTGGAAAAGAGACTGTTAATAGTTCCGAGCCTAATTGTTTCCTGATTGTTCCATATGAAGTGTCTTGTCTGGCTTAATGACATCCCACAAGCATTTGTTAAACTGTTCAAACTTGGCTGTCACAGTCAGTGCCCACCCAGCAGCGCAGACTGACACGCACACATGTAGAGATACAATAGCACCGGTGGTCTCTCGTGATTTTCATTCCAATTGTTTAAAATGCCTGCGTTAAACCTTGCACGCCTCGGGGTCTTTCTGGTGAGTAATTAATTTCAAGCGTGTGGGGGTAGAGACCAGAGCTCGTGGGCTTGCCTCTTGGCTCTGACTCCGATGTGTGTGTGTATGAGTTCAAGTGTGTGTGTGTGTGTGTGTGGGAGAGAAGCAGAGCAGGAGAAGGGAGGCTTTGCGCTGGCTTGGCTGCGGCGTCCTGACCTTAGGGAGGAGGTGGGGGAAAAAAACAGCACAGCGCAGAAAATCGATCCAGGGGCCGCTCTTCTCAGCCTCTTCCAGACCCCAGAGTCCTCCTCTCCTGGGAATTAGATAACGGCTTGTAAAAGCTCTCCACAGCCAGCCAGTCAGTCAACCAGCCAACCCCCCAGCTCCCCCCGACATCTCGCTGCTGCCACATCTTCGCTCTTTTCCCGCCTGCCTGCCTTTCTGCTTGTCCAAGAGATATTGAATTCATTCCTGTCACATTATGGCAAATTATTGACTTCCAGTTTAATTGGAATCTACGTTTCTCCTCATAACTGCATGGATATTGTGTGTTATCAGCAGGTTAATATTTCATTAGGGTTTAATTGGCCGCCGTTGTTTGTCTCACTTCACTGATCTTCCAGTTAAGACGCTGACACTGGGTTTCTCTCCTCCAGGTCTCCCTGTCCGAGGAGATCAAGCCGTTAAAGTGGTATCCCTCTGTGTACCTGCTGGTGTCCATCTTCCCACTCATCAACAGGTAACGCGCACCTGTACGACACACATATACGCACACATCTTTGCGCTCAGTTGTTTCATTTGCATGTTGGCCTCACTCTGACTGCTGTCTTATCTCATCTTTTACCGTCACCTACTCCTCCCCCCTCCTCCCTGTTCTGCTTTTCCCGTCCTCCTGTCTTGCTCTTTTTCTTATCTGAGGCACAGTAAAGTAGATTGTGCATCTGGTGTGTGTGTGTGTGTATAGGAAGTATGGAGCATTTTATTGGCTTATTTTAGAAACCAGGGCCTCATCGACTCAGAGTTGGTGGGAGGAGGAGAGTGGTCCAGTAAATGATCATTCCCCCGATGCTGATATTGCTCCTTCTTTCCTTCTCTTTCCTCCTTCTCTCTCTCTCTCTATACCTCTCTCCCTCCTTCCTTGATTTGACACAACTCCCACTCTCCTCGCTCCCCTTTTCCTCCTCCCTCCTCCTGACGGAACCGGTGTGATTGACAGGTCAGGGTTACTAAGTGATTAGCTGTGGCGGCTCTGCTTGTCGCCACGGCAATGTAGGCGGAGACACAGGTCAATTACAGGGTCAACGTCTTTCAAAGGCTCTGCTCAAACACTGCGCCTGCCCTTCCCTCCTCACCCTCCCCTCCCCCCTTGCCCTCTCACCCTCTTCTGCTCGTTCATCTCTCCATCCATTCCGTTACGCATCCGCCTCCATCTCATGCAGGGGCTGTCGGCTGATAAAGATGACAAACTGCATCCTGTGCTAACCCCAAAACGCCCTCTTCTCCCTTTCCTCATCCACCCCTGGTTCTTTCTTCTCTCTGACACTGATACACTCCAGCCTGTAGGTGGCACTAATGCATCTAACCTTTTTTGCTTTTTGCAAAAGTTGTACTGGATGCATTTAGTGACATTGGCGCACAAGATAGTTTGGTGAACAGTGATGGAAGATGAGACCGCAATGCTTGTCTTGTATGGTGGAAAGTTTTTTTACTCCTTGATGTGAGTACATTCACATTTTAAGTGAGTACATTCACAGTAATTGTACTGTGGGTTTGCACAAATCTGTAAAAGTACTAGATAGTTTATTTGTATGTAAACTGTATCCTAATTTTAAAATGCATGATTTAATTACACATCATATCATATTTTTTAACATTCCACCACAACCTTGAGTAGAAGTACTTTGAGTGAATCGGTTTGGATTTAAAGCTACATTTATTTCATTACATTGCTACATCATATAAATGATGGTTTTATATGACTGACAGAAAACAACTACTTAACCTTAATGATGAATTAATATACTTTAGCTTCAAATATTATACTTTTATTTCCAAAACTGTTATTGTCCACACAGATACACAATGATCTCTCCTCTCTGGCAATAATTTTACATGACACAATATTTTCTTTGGCGATACATCGTCCAGCATTATGACATCGTGGTTATGGTCCTAGTGAAAGACTTCACATCCTGGAAACTGTATTGACATGCAAATGTGAAACATATTGGATGCCGTCATATTTCCAATCATCCTCATCTGCAGTCTGGTCTTTCTTCCCCACAATGTTTTCATGTCACCTCCCCGAACCTTCCCCCTCTCCTCCGTCACTTTCCCTCTCCATTGTCATACAAAGCCTTGGCTCTCTCCCGTTCCCTGCCTTTTCTCTTTCTCACTCCCTCACTTGAGCAAACAAGCGGTGGCTGCTTGCTACGCTCCGCTCCACTCTGCCTTCTCCTGAGAGCGAACGAGGAGAAAACAGGAATGAATTGCTCTCTCGTCGTCCTCCCCCCTCCTCCACCACCGCCACTCTCCTCCCCTCCACCACTGCTCGGCAGCGGCGCCGGCTGTATACATCTCCAGCTTCTATTAATTTGTTAGCCTCCCCTCCCTCTTACCTCCTTCCCGACTCGCTCGCCTCGCTCCTTTCCGCCCTCCCACCGACTCATATCCTTTTCCACCCTCCTCCCCCACCTCTCTCTCCCCCCTTTGCTGAGTGCCGGAGTGTGTAAAGTGTTTGTCACGGTGCCGTGCTGATGTCGCTCCGCTCTGCCATGTTGAAGCGGTGCACATCAGACAGACTTTAGTGTGTGCTTTGCTGTGTGTGTGTGTCCGTGTGCTGTGTGTAGGTGACTGCGCGCGTACACGAGTGTGAACGAGTGCTTCTGCATGACTGTCTATGAGCATTCCATTTTGTGTTTTACTTTGCGGGTGCGCGTGTGTGTGTCTGACTGAGTGGAGGATTATTTCTATCTGAGCTCTAAAGCAGATCAGACCAGGGTTTAGGGAGACGGCCCAGGGCAGCAACTAAAGCCCCTGGGTAGAGTACTCTCTTTTCCCTTCTTGTTCTCTCCCTCTCTCTCACACACACACACCCACTCTCTCTATCTCTAGCCATCTATCTCCTTCTCCTCCCCTCTCTCACACCCCTCATGGCCTGCATCCACCCCTGTCTCCACCCTCTCTGCCATTTCTCCCTGCCTTAATCCATTGCGTTCACAGACACTCCCACACACAAACACGCTTGTTTTGGCCTCGTCTGCTACCACACACACGCACACAAACACACATGCACTCACACACTCACACAGACAGTCACGCCACACACACGCCACACTCAATTTTAATCTGTTCCAAATGCATGCTGGTAAATGTGTTAATTCGACACCAGCTGTTGCGAATTGAAATGGGAGAGCGCTCCGATACTTTTCCTTGACGCGCTCTCGCACACATGCGTGGACGTGTGGTTGTTCATCATTTCACGGCACACACACATCTCTCTGCCTTTCTTCGTTTTCTCACCCTCTCTATCTCTCACCCTCTCGCTCACTCACTTCCCCTAATTTGGCAGCTCCAAAGTAGCACCAACCGCTCACACCTAAACACTTCCCCGTCCTCTTTTTTCTCCCTCCCATTTTCTGTTACTCCTTTCTTTGCCACTCTCCGCACTACGAGTGTTTCTGTGTGTGTGTGTGTGTGTGTGTGTGTGTGTGTGTGTGTGTGCGCGTAACCACTACCCGGGCATGAGAGTTTTCACAGTCTGCTCCTCACACCGCCTCCCCTGTGTGCTTTATGGTGTGGGTGTGTGTTTGTTTACAAGGCTTGTCTAGATTCCTACTGTGCGTGCTTGTTCGCCTGTTTGCATAAATAAACTCCCTCCTTGGAACCTAGCTGCTGATTTCCCCGGCCTGATGAGCAAGTGCTCCTCCCGGAAAACCTGCTTGTTTTTTAAGGGGACTTTTTTTTTATACCGTCGTACATCTTCCCCTTCCTGACACCAAACAGGGAGAATTGTCCTTCCCCATTTCACGTCCTTTTTTTCTCCCTTTATCCTCCTCTTCAAGACTTAGGCAGGAGGCCAGACCTTTGAGCATTCGGTGCAGAAGGCTGCATCAGCCTGGACCGGCAGACCCGGGCGACGGGACTTGAACCAGTGATATGTCTGTAACCTTGAGTTCACCCTGTCGCTCCAGGAGGCAGCTTGAATTCCTCTAGTTATTCTCAGTGTCCCTTGATACTGCATGGGGCTTTTTGCGGTGTGTGTGTAGGCCGATACATGCTTGCAGGGGGAATTTTGTATGGACACCCCACAGTGTACCTCCCCATCCCTCCCTTTTTTTGTGGAGATCTGATTTCCTTGCTCCAGGCAAAACAGAGAGAACAAGACAGCGGGTGCACATGTTTGTGCGTGTGCATGTGTGTGTGTGTGTGTTTGTGTGTATGTTTCAGGGCATCTTTGGTTTTTATGGTGTGTGTGTGTGTGTGTGTGTGTGTGTGTGTGTGTGTTTGCGCTCACGCCCGCATACACAACCAGGGCCAGGCAGACCTTTCCCCATCTTGATGCTGCACTTTGAAAAACGAGGGAGGAAATCTCAGAGCAGCAGTTATTATTCATCCCTCAAAGAGAGTGGCGAGGAGGCGG